ACATAGTGGGTAAGGCTGCTAACCAGAAGTTCTGTGACTTAAACCCAGCAGCTGCTCCTCAGGAGGAAGATGAGGCAATTTACTTCTGTAAAGATTTACATTCTTGGAAACCCAATGGGGATTGCTATGAGTTTTGTTTTTTGTTTTTCATTTTTGTAAATAACTTTGGTTGCACAATTCTTCTCTGATACATGAGTCAGAATTGACTTAGTAACAACTTTTTTTTTTTTTTTTTAATCATTGGTGTAGAAGAAGAGAACAGATATTGAGGGACGGTCCCTATATGCATTGTGCCATTCTTTTTTTTTTTTAATTTTTATTTTGTTCTTCTTTTTTAGAACATTTTAATGTGGCTTAGGTGAAAGTTTACCAACAAAATTAGTTTTCCATTCAACAGTTTATACAGTTTGTTTCGTGAAATTAGTTGCAATCCCTCCAGTGTAACAATGTTCTTCCCACTTCCTCCCTAGGTTTCCATTTGGCCTTTCCTTCTGTATAAACTTTATTTTTGGGCAAATGCTGCCCTTTTGGTTTCATATGGTTGATTATTCTGAGGAAAATGTTTATCAAAGGTGTTATTGTTCACTTTACAGGCCTGTGTGTTATTTGGCTGAAAGGTGAACCCTGGGACCATCATTAACCCTTTTCTTGGTTAAATGTGCAAGCTAGTGAGGTTTATCACACACATCCTAACTTGGCTAGCTATTGATACATCTTTTTAACCTCTGAATTGCTTCTTAAAACTGAAGATATATAACAATTTTAGTTGTGTAATGAAGACCAATCCTATTGTTATATCACCAAAAGCATTCTTTTTCTTCTAGCTTTAGGAAATCATCCAGAAAAAGAATGACCCAGACTATACTTCGGGGCAGTGGCTGTCAATGCATGGTCAGGATCAGTAGCATCACCTGGGTGCTTATGAGAAATGCAGATTCTGGAGCCCCTTCAGAATCAGAAACTCTGCGGGGGGGGGGGGGCAGCAGGCTAGGTTTTGACAAGGCCTACAGGTGATTCTGATGCATGCTCAAGTTTGAGAACCACTGTTCTGTAGAAAGTCATAAGGGCATTGTCTTAATCCAGCAGACTTCAGGCATGCTAGTGTATAATTTTTCTTAGTGCCTTCTTGGAAATAGATGTTCCTGAACAAATACATTTTCCTAAGAAGGAAGGATAAGTTTCTCATAAAACAAAACAAAACAAACACATGCAAACACCCAAAGGAAAACAAATATATCTAATAATATTTTGGCTTTAATCTGTTTTTAAAAGTTTATAAACTTATTTGGGAATAACTTCAAGTTTATAGAAAAGATGCAAGAATGAAAGTAGTAGGAAGAATGCCCATATATCTTTTAACCAGATTAACCTATTAACATTTTCCCTGTTGGCTTTATCGTTTGCTTACTCTCGCTTCTCCTTTTCTGAACTATTTAAGAGTAAGTTGCATATATCATGACCCATTACCCCTAATACTTCAGTGTATATGTCCTAAGAATAGGAGTATTCTCTTGCCAAACTGCAGTACAGTTATTAGCATTAGTATAGTTTAGCAATGATACAGTATTCTCATCTATTCTAGCATCCAGAGTTTAGTTTTTTCAATAAAACCAAAAACCAAACTCGCTACCATTGAGTCGATTCTGACTCTTGTGTTTCTGAGGCAATATCTCTACAGAAGTATATTGCTCAGTCTTCCTTCTGAGGAGTAGCTGGTGGGTTTGAACCGCCAGCCCTCTGGTTAGCAATCAGATGCCTTAGGCACTACGCTACCAGAGCAGATCCAATGTATTTTTCCCCCCAGTACAGGAGCCAGTCTGGGGCCACATGACACTAACACAGTTGTCATGTCTTTTTAGTTTCCTTTAATATGGAACATTTTTATAGCCGCCTTTTGTGTTTTCAAAATGACATTGAGCATTTTTTTTTAAGAATACAGTCTTTTTTTTCTTTTTTTTAAAAATAGAATGTTCCTCATTTTAGGTTTGTTAGATGTTTCCTAATTTAGATGATTTAGGTCATACATTCTTGGTTGTATCCTTCTGAGGCTGTCACATCTGGAGGCACATGTAAATTCAATAATTATGAACAAAGAAAGAGATTAAGGAGAATTTATAATTTAAAGAATACATGCGTGTTGTTTTATTTTCATTTTTGTTATAAACAATAAATAATTCTAAAAGAAGACCTTATTTTCCTTTAGTCAGTTTGGAAAGGGAAACAGTTAAATTATGTTTGAAGAAGACTGGTTGCTTTGTTCCCATCTTATAATTTACTTGTAATTTCAAAACATTTGCCTAAATGCCACCAAACAAATTAACAAACAAAAAAGGGTAAAAAAAGAAGGGTGTTGTTAACTGAATTTTTATGAAATCTACATAATTTAATGCCCTAGAACAAGAAGTCTAAACATGTAAATAAGAAATAGGGAAAGAGTGACATATTTTGGAATATAAATGTTATAGTGTGGGGTTAACTTACACAGCACTAGGAAGCTCACAAAGGGATTAAGTTGATCTCCCAACAGCTTGAATGTCATCCATTGAATGCACAGCTCTCTAAAGCCTAATCCACTGGGTTTAAAGTTTGTTATATTTCAACATGTACACATGTTTCCATGCACCAGGAATGGCGATTTTCAAAACATATTCACAGTCTGGTCAGAACACCACAATTGGCTATTGTCCAATATCTTTCCACATGGAATATTAGAGATTTTATAAGCCCTAATAGATCTGGAAGAACTTTAGAAAAATTCAGGATTCTGCAAAGCATATTAATTTGTTAAAAGAGGACTGGGCTTTGTATCTTGTGGAAAAACACTTAGTATATGGTTAAAAGATGCAGTTGTTCTCAAATGAATGGAAAAATGTCCACATTCTACTGTAATGAGATTATGGAAGGCGAAGTGTGTGAGCGGCTTTGTACGCCCGAGGAGTGTGGCTTTGTTAAGTTTGGTGTCTCCCTGTGGTTTTTGGTTTGCTGCTACAAACGTTGGGAAAGCATCGGAGCCTGCAGACTCCAGCACTTTTTGGAATACTTTTATTCTCTGTCCCTCTTTGTTTTTGGCTCATCCTGAAAGGTACTAGAAATAGTCTGTATTCTATGTTAGAAATCTTAGTCAGCTGAATGCATAGTCAAATAAATGGACAGAATCACGTCTCTTCTCCCCTCCCCGGACAGTACCTCTCTGAAGCGCTCGTGGCGTCTCTGGATGGAACAAAGAGTGAAGGGCTCAGCTACTAACTGAAAGGTTGGAGGTTAACTCCACCCAGAGGCACTGCAGAATAAAGGATTGACAATCTTTTTCTGAAAAGTCAGTCATTGAAATGGAGCACAATTCTATTCTGACACACATGGGGTGGCCACGATCAGAGTCGACTCTGTAACAACCTTTTTTTTTTTTTTTTTTTAAAGTACTTGTTATACCTTTCTTGTTTGTTTGTTTGTTTGTGTTTTTAATTGTCATGGTTCAAACCCACCAGGCACTCCTCAGAAGGAAGGTTGGGCAATCTACTTCTGTAGTGATACCGCCTAGGAAACCCAAGGAGGGGTTGCTATGAGTCGGGTCCGGCTCGACTGCACATAATAACAACAAACATGTAGTTTTCTGGGTCGGAGGGGCTTTCTTGGAAGGAAAACTAGTATCTATGTGCCCCCATGAAAGAGCTCTAGAGTAGAAAAGGAAAAGCCTATAGATGACTTATTGGCCAAGTAACAGGAACACCCCTGTAGTGTGATGGCCTTGCCCTCAGCTCAAAGGTAGATCTTGAGCAACTTACCCAAGCTTAGAAATGTGTGGAAGTTTGACTACTCTCTCAGCAGTGAGGTATCCATAGTGACACCTTGAGGGCCGTGGAGACACACATGGATTTGATACCTCCAGTCTCTTTTGGAGGTACCGATGATATAGGCAGTTATCTTTGTGCCTTTTTTCTGCAACTTCTTTTCCTTGGGGTTGGGGACCCTCACAATTCCCTCCCAATCCCCAGCTTTGGTCTTGCCTACTGGGTGAATTTGTTCATTCATCCGCTTCTTGTGCACACTCTCTCCTTGTCCTCGTCTTTTCTGTTTTTGTGCCAGCATCTAATATTCTTCCTTTCTTTTGCGGGTCTTCTCTTTCATGTTGTTTCCAGAAACTCCCACCTTTTACTCATGTACAAGCACTTTCCTAGCTCCTTACTCTAGTGCAGCTGACTCAGAGTGAGAGGGAGAAACCCACCCACATTGTCTTAGTTAGCTAGTGTTGCTGTAACACAAACACAAGAAGTGGGTGGCTTTAGAAACCAGAAATTTATTTTCTCACAGTTGTGGATGCTTTAAGTGCAAATCAGGTTCCTTGGTTCGCAGATGATCCTTATGTGGTTGCCTTCCCTGTCTGTGTGTCTGTGTCCATTCTGATGGTTTATGACTCAGAAATGGTTTAGTTTAGTCATATACCTGTATGATCTTATTAACAAAAGAAAACCCCTGTTTCCAAACAGGATTATATCCGCAGGTACAGGGTGAAGATTTCAACACGTATTTTGGGAGCACGTATGTCAAGACCTTCCTTTTACCCTCAAAGAAACACAGTATTGCACAGGACATGTCAACTCCTTTGGACCTCTATTCAGACTGATATTTCCCATTTATAACATTTTAATAGTTCCAGTTTTTAGAAACTCGCTCCACCCATCTTTAATACAAATTATATTTCTGTCTTCAAAAACTGATGCTGACAAATATGCATATGCAGGTGGCTGGAGGTACCACTAGGTCTGGCTCGTTTATTCCAGTACTTACTTGTAAGGTTTTGAAATGTTGAATAATATTTGAGAGAGTCACACCTCTCTATTGCCTTCTCCCTAGAATGTAATTTTCATCCAGGTGCCATTTTATTTTACAACAAAGCAAACAGGATGATTCAAAGCATTTAAAAACCTGCTGCAATCCAGCAAGAGTGAGACACTCAGGCCATGGGTCTGTTTCGCATCTAATGCGTTTCCTTTTCTACTCAGGCTGGCTATATGTCTGGGATGCTGGTGCCTGTAGGGGTTGGGATAGCTGGAGCCTTGTTCATCTTGGGAGCGCTGTATAGCATTAAGGTTATGAATCGCCGAAGGAGAAATGGCTTCAAAAGACATAAAAGAAAGGTATGAAACCAACAACAGCAAAAGCTAATCAGTTTCTGAACATTGTTTGCTTACCTCATTTGCTTAATAAAGCACCAGGGCCTTAATGATGCGTGAATAGTATCCAAGTGCCCAGTGGTTTGGATTAGCAGCCGTAGCTGCTGCCTCACCTTCATTTGTTAGGATGTCTTTTCAAGTGGGCATGATTCTCAGCTTTGCTCTGTGCAGAGTTTAATCACGCTTTTCTTTTTTCTTTCTCTAGCAGAGAGAATTCAACAGCATGCAAGATCGAGTAATGCTCTTAGCCGACAGCTCTGAAGATGAGTTTTGAATTGGACTGAGGTTCATTGGGATATTCAATGACGCTATGATTTTATTTTTTATTAGGGGCAAAAAGGAAACGAACACCAGGCTGCCACATCTCTGCACATGTCAGTCCCATTATCTGCTGTGTAGTAGATTTCTCTTGTACTGAGCAGAAAAGGCATGCTGTATACTCAATGTAACAAGCAGTGTTTGTTTTTGTAATGTAGTGAATTTTCCACAACCATGAGCTACAACTCATAAATATGCAGAATACATGTTGTTCAGTAGGAGTTGCTAGATTAAGTAGAGTAAATATTTTGTATTTTTCCAGTGTCTTTTTCCTTGGTTTGCATTAACCCACACTTGTCATAGCCATTATTGCCATCAAGGCACACTTGATTTTGTAACAGAAATAGTAATGAAAAAGTATCCTCTGATGATGGCACTCCAGCTACTTGAGACCACAGGCTTGAGCACCATGGAACGTATTGCATTTGCATCAAAACTAGGAGCAACTTGGAATGAAACCTTTTTTCACCAGGATTTCCCAGCACTTTAGGTTTATCTGTATCTTGCGTTATGTACTTTACTCTCTCAGTTTTATTATTTTTTACCTTCTGTTTTATCCTCACTCTTGGCAAGGGAAAGAAATGCACCAGAAATAATAATACATTAAATTGACTCTTGATCTTAATGTACATTTGCGTTCTTAAATGGTATGATTGGGTCCAACTGATCTGTGAACAGTTTGATATCAACATCATTAAGAGATGTTCTTTTTTCAGTACCATTTGTTTTGTCAAGAAGAAATTATGAAGAAATCAAGAAGAAAATGAGGGTAGGTTAACTCTCAGAGGAGTCCCTCTGCATGGTTTACATTCTCAGCTACTGTCCAAAGGGTTGGTGGTTCAAATCTACCCAGAAGCACCTTGAAAGAAAGGCCTGATGCTCTACTTCTGAAAAATCGGCCATTGAAACCCCTGTGGAGCACAGTTGTGCTCTAATACACATAGGTCTCCATGAGTCAAAGTTGATTTGATGGTGACTGGTTCAGACTCCCAGAGCACTTATCTCTGCAATTTGGCTCTGAGCTTATGTGGCAACATCTGTGGTTCTTGTTCATAGAAAGAGCAGGCTGCGATTGGTCCTTATTTACCTTTTATTAAAATAAATAAATAAATAGTACTCTGTGGTAGAAGCAGGCTCAGTGACCAGAGCCATGGTGACCCTCGAGCTCATGGGAAACCAGCTTCTTTCAGGGCATCACATTATGGGGATGTTGGATTATGCTAGATCATTTCTCATTTCCCTTGGAATATAATTCCCTGATCTTTCATTTGTGTTTGGGCATTTGGGACTTGTAGTAAGTTGAGTTTTTTAGGCAGAAGTTTGGGTCATTCCTGTGGAAGACTGTAAGTTGTTGTTGTTGTTAGGTGCTGTCGAGTTGGCTCTGACTCATAATGAGCCTCTGTGTGCAACAGAATGAAACACTTCCCAGTCCTGTGCCAGCCTCACAGTCCTTGCTACACTTGAGCCCATCGTGGCAGACACTGTATCAATCCATCTCATTGAGGGCCTTCCCCTTTTTTGTTGATTTGATCCTCCACTTTACCAAACATGATATCCTTCTCCAGGGAATGGTCCCTTTTGATGACATGACCAAAGTAGGTGAGACAAAGTCTGGCCATTCTTGCTTCCAAGGAGCATTCTGGCTGTACTTCGTCCAGGACAGATCTGTTAGTTCTTCTGGCAGTCCATGGTACTGTCAGTATTCTTCATCAACACCGTAACTCAAAGCATCAACTCTTCCTTGGTCTTCCTTATTGATTGTACAGGTTTCACATGCATATGAGGCAATTGAAAGTACCATGGGTTGGGTTAGGCTCACCTTAGTCGTCAAAGAGATATCTTTGCTTTTCACCACTTTAAACAGGCCTTTTGCAGCAGATTTGCCCAATGTAATACGTCATCTGATGTCTTGACTGCCTATTTCCCTTGGTGTTGATTGTGGATCAAGTAATATGAAATCTTTGACAACTTCAATCTTTTCTCCTTTTATCGTGATGCTGCTTATTGGTTCAGTTGTGAGGAGTTTTATTTTCTTTATATTGAGATGTAATCCATACTGTGAACTGTAGTCATTGATCTTCACCAGTAAGGGTTTCAAGTCATCCTCACTTTCAGTAAGGAAAGTTGTGTTGTCAGCATATCGCAGATTGTTAATGAGCCTTCCCCAATCCTGATGCCATGTTCTTCTTCATATAGTCCAGCTTCTTGGATTATTTGCTCAACATACAGATTGAATAAGTATGGTGAAAGGATACAGCCCTGATACACTCCTTTCTTGATTTTAAACCATGGAGTATCCCCTTGTTTTATTTGAATGATAGCCTCCTGGTCTATAGATAGGTTTCTGATGAGCACAGTTAAGTGTTCTGGGATCCCCATTCTTCTCAACGTTATCCATAATTTGTTATGATCCATGGAATCGAATGCTTTCTCATAGTCAGTAAAACACAGGTAAACATCTTTCTGGTATTCTTTGCTTTCAGCCACAGTCCATCTGACATCAGCAATGGTATCCCTCATTCTACCTCCTTTTCTGAATTCAGCTTGCATTTCTGGAAGTTCTCCGTCAATATACTGCTGCAACCATTTTTTAATTACCTTCAGTAAGATTTTGCTTGCATGTGATATTAATGATATTGTTCAATAATTTCTGCATTCTGTGAGATCACCTTTCTTTGGAATGGGTACAAATACAGATTTTTTCTAGTCAGTTGGCCAGGTAGCTGTCTTCCAGATTTCTTGGCATAGATGAGTGAGTGCCTCCAGCGTGACATCTGTTTGTTGAAACATCTCAATGAGTATCCCATCAATTCCTGGAGCCTTTTTTTTTTTTTTTTTTGCCAATTCCTTCAGTGTAACTTTGACTTCTTCCTTCAGTACCATTGGTTCTTGATCATATGCCACCTCCTGAAATGGATGAACATCAACCAATTCTTTTTGGTATAGTGACTCTGTGTAGTCAAAATATTGCCCATAGAATTTTTCAGTATTGCAACTCAAGCCTTAAATTTCCTCTTCAGTTCTTTCAGCTTGAGAAATACTGAGTGTATTCTTCCCTTTTGGTTTTCTAACTCTAGGTCTTTGCACATTTCATTATAATAATTGACTTTGTCTTCTCAGCCTGCTCTTTGAAATCTTCTGTCCAGCTCTTTTATCTTGTCATTTCTTCCATTTGCTTTAGCTTCTCTCCATTCAAAAACAAGTTTCAGAGTCTCGTCTGACTTTAAAGTCAATTTCAGACTGTAGAAGTTGGTAAAATTCTTCAATTTCCTCATCTTTGGCATTGGTGGCTGGTGTGTAAATTTGAATAATAGTAGTATTAACTGGTCTTCCTTGTAGGTGTATGGATATTATCATATCACTGATAGCATTGTACTTCAGGATAGACCTTGAAACATTCTTTGTGATGATGAATGTCATACCATTTCTGTTCAATTTGTAATTCCTGGCATAGTAGATCATATGGTTATCTGATTCAAAATGGCCCAAACCAGTCCATGTTAGCTCACCAATGCCTAGGACATCTATCTTTATAAGTTCCACTTCATTTTTGACAGCTTCTCATTTTCCTAGATTCATACTTCATACATTCCATGTTCCGATTATTAATGGTTGTTTATAGTTCTTTCTTCTCATTTTGAGTCATGCCACATCAGTATATGGAGGTCCCAAAAGCTTTACTCATCCATCCATATCATTATGGTCGGCTGTACTCTGAGGAGACAGCTCTTCCCCAGTCATATTTTGAGTGCCTTCTGACCTGAGGGGCTCATCTTCCGGCACTGTATTGGACAATGTTTCCGGGCTATTCATGAAGTTTTCCAGTAATATATCAGAGAGTGTTTCACTGCTATTCATAAGGTTTTCACTGGCCAATTCTTTGAGAAGTGGATGGCACCTTTTTTCTTTTGAGTCTGTCTTTGTCTGGAAGCTCCATGGAAACCTGTCCACTGGGGGTGACCCTGCTGGTATTTGAAATACCAGTGGCATAGCCTCCACCCTCACAGCAACATGCAAGCCACCACAGTATGACAAACTGACAGATGAGTGGTGGAGAATATAAGTTACTATTAATTTATTGACATTTATCAGAACAGTGTAAAACATTACTGTGTTCAAGGCAAGTTGCACTGTTTGTCCTCAAAGCTATTCTGTGAGGTAGGACATATGTTACTATGCCCCCATTTGACTGAAGACAGAACTAGAATATAGAATTGGAACAATTGTCCAAAGTTACACCCAGAGGAAGGACCAGCAGTACAACCTGCTAGAACTCCAAGCTGCGTGCCCCTATCTTTAGTTCATTGCCCTTTCCACACACTGCAAAGAAGCAGTGCTATTTCAGTGGCTTTCTTTAAAAACAAGGTAATAAGGAAATAGCTGCTTAGTGAAGGACCTTTTGCTACTAGTTTCTGTCTTTGCAAAATGAATAATGACTCACTAATGTATCTTTTACACAACCCTCCTTGCCCACCTCAGCTATTAAAATAATCGATTTAAGTATCTCCTCCAAGGAACCAATAGAGAAACCATTCTTAAACAATACCTGTCTCAAAAGAATGATTTTTGTCAAATTTAACTCTTTGGCCAAGAGATTAAGCAAATGTGCAAAATTGATAAAGAGAGCACAAAACCTCTGTGCAAATAGAAGTTAGCAATTGACAAAAAGCTCAAGATCACATTTTAAAAACAGTTCAGAACCATGACACGCCTAAGGAATTTGTAATTTCACAGGCAGAGACAACCTGATATTGGAGAAGGTGTATTTTCCTTCTCCAAGAGCAGCCACTTGCTGTAAGTGTTCGTTGGGTTAGTAGAAAGTGAGTGTGATATGTCACTGCTGTTGCTTGCTGTGTTCTTGACAAGCTGTTTACAGAGAATACACAATAGACCTCCTCACTCAACAACACATGGTGGTACTAATGGCACTAATACCTCGGGGTACTCTTTTTCATG